GGGCGAGGGGGAGTGGGAGCGACTGTGAGATAAGAATCTGCACAATCAAATTGCACATTCCCACATACACTTCATGTTTGGAATTGGCCAAAAATGTGTGTTTCGACAATGCGTTTTACTAGGTAATGAATCTTAATTTTGAATTGATTGAATGGGTAGTTACAGTGTATAATAAGGTGTTATTAGTTAATTGGCAGTAATTAAAACCCTGTTTAAATTTAAATTCTTCCAAATAATATATCTAAAATAACTCAGAATATCCCCAATAGAGATGAGTTTTGACCCACCTTGTTACCTTGGTAGGTAGTAAATTTTTGTGTTAGACATATGGACCATTAATTTGTAAGTCACGAAAATACTTCCACATAATTGAAAGAATTTCTTACCGATCCTCCGTCTTAGAAAATGTTGTTCTTTGCTTTTAAAAACATCATTGAAGAGTATTCATGAAATAGCATACAAATTACTATTTAAACTGATTTGCTCAATGAGTTTCATAGTTTTTAAGTCCCAATGTGGTGTTATTCTTTCCTTTTTTGTTACCTTCCTTCGATATTCTGTGACGGTTAGATTAAATAACAATGTCAATTGTCTTCTTTAGACAATGTCCCGAAATCTCCGACAACCCGGCGTTCTAGGTAGTGTTCATGGTTCCACCACGGGCATGCGGATGGCCGGAAGTCTTCAATATGATGCTGATAGTGGCGATTCTGGACGTGGACCTTCTGAAGATGGAAATCAGCTCATGATGATGGATAATCAAAGAAGTATGTATCCAAAATTTCTCTCCAATTATGCCGATGTTCTCCAATTCGATACTTATACCATTTTGTGTGAAAATGCTTTGAATATAACTCACAGTTAAGTGAGTCATTGGATGCAGTGTATTGGTATATGTTAATGTCTTTATAGTATAAACACACTCCAATTTATGGGCTACTCTTGCGTTAGATAAATAGGTCAAGCGGATTCCTTAAATATAACAATGCGGAACTATAGAGAGCTATAGCTCGTTTCCGATGCATTTTTTCCAACACAATTGCCACTGGAGAACAATTTTCGAGGTCTATGTTCTCTTAGAGCTTGTAATACGTTATCTCGATTGTTATTGACAACAGGGAGCGATCATTTCACCTTCTATATGAATATTACGAAAGTTTAAGTCACCACAATCCATTAAATGCCCACTGAATTACAAGCGCCTTACTATATTGGCGTTATTAACATAAAACAGAATTAGGTCATTCATCCCAGCTCGTAATTAGTCGTGTTATCCCATTAATGACAAGTCGTTATCTGTTTTATTAATATTAAATCAGCTTCATAGTGATATGGCATTTACACTAATCGCTTTTACAATCCTAATGGCTTTACTCGCGTTAATCCGTAAATGATACTAGTGTAGTGACGGTTAATATTTTTCTTTTAAATATACACTGAGATTTTATTTAAAGCGTCAATTAGAAGTGGGCTTTTTAGGAGTAAATAATAGGTGGTTTACGAAAAGGAAATCTGAAAACTCTGTTCTGTGACCCCTAATGTTACGCCGCATGATTGATGTCGATTCGCCAGATTGCATCAATCCTAATGTTGCATTAAGTACGCTTTAATTTGTTTGATTTTGAATAATTAAGACCCGAAAATTATTAGCTTCCAGAATCCGAAAGTCTAACCCATTTATCAAATTAGTTTTTATTTCTTTCCATTCTATTTCGATTTTGCATTGAATGTTAATGCCAAATGCTATAGCCTACAGAAGACGTTTTGATGAATTGCCCAGAAGAAAAGGCCTTTTAATATTCAATTACAAAACGGTTTTAAGAATTCGTGTTGCGTGTTCACTTCCATCTGAAAGTTCGTTTGTCTAAAGGCATTATCTCTTTGATGATCTCGGAGAATCGATTGCTCTTCTGTTAATCGACTTTAACAGACTTAAAACCCTTAATTTTGGATTGACATATATTCCATCTACTGTTCAACCACCGATTCAATTAGATTTTATTGAATATACGCAACTAAATTCGAGTTCTCGATTTCCTGCTAGCTCTTGCTTGAAAACTTAAACTTCGGACACTTAAGCGACTTTACAGCCGAGTTAAACTGCACATCGACACATACCCATACTGTCGGCTAAATCAGATGTGGAGAAAATAGTAGCCCTTGGTGTCTTTTAAGTTAGCGAAACTTGAACCCCTGTGTCAATTTTTGAAGATAGTTTTCGATTTCCATTCTAGACAGAGAGTGGCACTATGAAGCATACTCGTTGAGAAACTCAAGTTTCTTTATCCACCTTATTTGTCAGAATTCATTGTATATCCACCTCAACTGGCTGTTTGGTGTTGGTCAGTAATCTCCATCACCTCTAATTTCATAGTTGGTGTTTAGGGTGGAAAATTTGACCGTCAATTGGGGGGTGGGGGTGGGAGATCAGGAGACATCAGTGATTCAGAGGGTCTTCTCTTTGCTCAAAACTAGAGTTTGAAATCACCTTTCAATGAGAATTTCAATTTCTCTTTTACCTGAAACTGCATCTGATTTAGAGTTGTAAAATCAGTCATACACTGTCTATAATGCACCTGTGTATTCTATCTTGGACGAGACATTAAGAGGGTCGTATTCAACTGTTATTGCGGGACAATGGCTCAGATTTCAGACAATTTGTAATTGACACGTCATGTTTGTCTATTATGGTGCGTATTTTTCACAAACTACAGAATTCTGCCAAGTACTTTTAGATCGCCCGAAAGCTGAATCGCAATGGTAATTGATTTTGTCCTAATCTCCCGAACATTTTTTTAAGAGCGCTTCATTAAAAAATGGGATGCATCTACGCAAGTTGACGTAGGTTTATTGGCTAATTTTCACTACTTCCAACTACAATTAAATGGCGTTGTGCCCTCGTTCATTGCTTTGCTCTCCTCGTCTATAGTATTGTTTGATTTGTGAATGGCAATTCAATTTTGCTATAAGAATAAGTAATTTCTAATATTTAAATACGGACGATCTTGAGAAAGCATAAGTTGTTGGCTATCGCTGATTCTATTAGGTGATTCAGGTGTTGGGTCAAATGCTGACAAAGATTCTCTAACAGAGATTCTATTTTTCATTCTCTTTAACTCACTCTCCCATAATTTTCTTCTCCAGTCAAATTGTCAACTTTCGGGAACTTTACTGCAATGGAAACGGGAAGAGTATATGCACTCTGTCTAATAATAGAATGTCTTGAAGGCTTTAGGAAAATTTATTGAAATGCTACTGTTAATATTATTTAACCTCAAGCTATTAGTCTTATCGATGAATGCAATTGGCATACAGTTCGATTGTTGCATATCTACTATATCTTTTGCTTCTCAAATCATCCTGCACCTTCTCCAACTTGTACTGGATCTACGACTATCAAATTGCATCACTTTGAGATTTAGCAATACTGTAGGGACGAATTGTAGATCTGTCTTCCAATATTGTTATTTACGTTGTTATGTATTCAAAATTAGCTAATTCTGCCAATGCGTTAGTCGGAGGTCGATGGAAATGCTACTTTTCTTGGACCCCTTGAAGATATTGTACGATGCTACGTTATCGATTACCGATTGGTGTCGATAGTTCTTCTCCCTGAAGCACCATATTTATATTATCTTACTTGCTTTGCAGTCTTCTGATGAATACAAATAGATTGTGTGGTTTTACCACCTAAAAATTTTAACTGCAACTTGAATTGGCAAAAGGTGGTAGAGAACAAGTAATAAAATTTATCATAGTCACGTGATTTCAATGAATAAATACGAATTCCAGTAAATATAAATAAAGTTTCCTATAGAGAATATTGGTTCATTCCGCGATACTTCGGTCAGTTTTCTAACTTTCTTTGTTTTTTTGGGGGGGGGGGGGGGGGGGGGGGGG